TCTTTCTTTCTTTCTTTCTGTGTCTTTGTTTGTTTGTCTGTTTGTTTGTCGGTCTGCCTGTCGGTATGTCCATCTTTCTGTCGGTCTGTCCATCTGTCGGTCTGTCTGTCTGTCTGTCTGTCTGTTCATCTGTCTGTCTGTCTGTCTGTTCATCTGTCTGTCGGTCTGTCATCTCCGTCTGTTGTGTCTGTCTATCTGTCTGTCCATCTGTCTGTCTGTCGGCCTGATGAGTTCGAACCAAATCCTTTCTGCCCTTCGTACTTGATTAGGGATGTTAGTCAGGAAAAGTAGTTGGATGGGTTGTTCGGGGAAGGGAGATGAGAAGAGGGAGTCCATCTGTTTGTCTTTCTTTCTTTCTGTGTCTTTGTTTGTCTGCCTGTCTGTCGGTCTGTCCATCTGTCTGTCTGTCTAGCTGTCTGTCTGTCAGTTCATCTGTCTGTCAGTTTGTCATCTCCGTCTGTTGTGTCTGTCCATTTGTGTGTCTGTCTGTCCATCTGTCTGTCTGTCGGCCTGATGAGTTCGAACCAAATCCTTTCTGCCCTTCGTACTTGATCAGGGATGTTAGTCAGTAGAAGCAGTTGGATGGGTTGTTCGGGGAAGGGAGATGAGAAGAGGGAGTCCATCCGTCTGTCTTTCTTTCTTTCTGTGTCTTTGTTTGTCTGTCTGTCTGTCGGTCTGTCCATCTGTCTGTCGGTCTGTCCATCTGTCGATCTCTCCATCTGTCTGTCTGTCTGTCTGTCTGTCTGTCTGTCTATCTGTCTGTCTGTCAGTCAGTCTGTCTGTCTGTCTGTATGTTCATCTGTCTGTCGGTCTGTCATCTCCGCCTGTTGTGTCTATCCATCTGTGGGCCTGTATGTCCATCTGTCTGTCTGTCGGCCTGATGAGTTCGAACCAAATCCTTTCTGCCCTTCGTACTTGATTAGGGATATTAGTCAGGAGAAGCAGTTGGATGGGTTGTTCGGGGAAGGGAGATGAGAAGAGGGAGTCCATCTTTTTTTCTTTCTTTCTTTCTGTGTCTTTGTTTGTCTGTCTGTCTGTCGGTCTGTCCATCTGTCTGTCCGTCTGTCCATCTGTCTGTCTGTCTGTCTGTCTGTCTGTCTGTCTGTCTGTCTGTCTGTCTGTCTATCGGTTCATCTGTCTGTCGGTCTGTCATCTCCGTCTGTTGTGTTTGTCCATCTGTGTGTCTGTCTGTCCATCTGTCTGTATGTCGGCCAGATGTGTTCGAACCAAATCCTTTCTGCCCTTCGTACTTGATCAGGGATGTTAGCCAGGAGAAGCAGTTGGATGGGTTGTTTGGGGAAGGGAGATGAGAAGAGGGAGTCCATCTGTCTGTCTTTCTTTCTTTTTGTGTCTTTGTTTGTCTGTCTGTCTGTCTGTCGGTTTGTCCATCTGTCTGTCAGTCTGTCCATCTGTCTGGTTGTCTGTCTGTCTGTCTGTCTGTCTGTCTGTTCATCTGTCTGTCGGTCTGTCATCCTTTTTTTTTTTTTTTTTTTTTTTTTTTTTTTTTTTTTTTTTTTTTTTTTTTTTTTTTTTTTTTTTTTTTTTTTCTTTCTTTCTTTCTTTCTTGCTTTCTTTCTTTCTCTTTCTTTCTGTTTCTTTCTCTTTCTTTCTGTCTCTTTCTTTCTCGGTCTTTTTTTCCTACCGTAACGACGTACGTACCTCGCCCCCCATCTCCCTCCTGCCCTTTGCTAGTCATACCTTTTGCCATTTACATATTTCTCTCCTACGTATGTACTCGTCTGGTTCGAACAGGGGTTGTTGTGGGCGAAGAGTATTACACACACAAACACACCGACACATACACACATTCTGGCGTGCACCGTTCAAGTTGGCTACTGTGTGCCATACACCGACCACACAGGTCCGTTGTGACTTCAAATGGCACGCAGTAGCCAACTTGAAGTCGGACACGCTAACACACGCACAGACATATACAGAAAGACACACACACACACAAAGGCATACATAGAAAGACACACACACACACACACACACACACACACACACACACACACACACACACACATTCTGGCATGCACCCTTAAAGATGGCTACTGCGTGCCAGAAACTGACGAATGATGACCGTTGCGACTTCTAATGACACGCAATAGCCAACTTGGGAACAAACACGAAGACACACGCACAGACCATTCATACACACACATCCAAAGACATATACACAAAGACACACAGACATCCACATAGGTTCATACCTAGACGCCACACACACTCACACACACACTCACACACACATGTCGATGACGTCATTGTGCATTTCCGCTGGCAGAGAGAAGAGGACGAAAGACAAACCGTACGCATCATGTCGATGTCAGTAGCACAGGTGGAGGCTGCTCTTGCAGGGGTAATAAGGTATTCAAAGGAGGGCGTCCACTACAACGGTGACAGCGAGTTGTCTTTGCTTCAGGACAGGGTGCCGAGGTACTTCATAGTCGGTGTGGATATGAGATCCATGATCATGGCAAACGGCGAGGGCTGTGTCAAAGCACAAACACTCTTGGAACGCTTTACAGAGTCACCACATGTACGTGTGGACAGCGATGTGGAAGACAGTGCATACAGTCTAAAAGGAGTGGTCCAGTGAATGTGCAGCGAAGGGATGTGCGAAGAAGGAGACGTGGACATGACAATGCAGCAGAAAGGGGGAACATATAAACCTGCGGATTCCAAGAAGTTGCTGGGCGACGTGGACATGACAATGCAGCAGAAAGGGGGAACATATAAACCTGCGGATTTCAAGAAGTTGCTGGGCACTGTGGCACGGAATGGGGGAATGTTGGTTGATGGGTCGAACGACGAGTTGAAGAGTGGTGCTGCAAAAATCTTGGTGTTGTCGAGAATGAAGGACATTACACAAACACCGCTAGAAGACTTTCAAGATGTTCCTGTCATTGTTGCAGATGGTGTGGAATATATTCTGCTGGATCAACTTGTGGACTTCATGAAAAAGAGTGCCGATGACAGAAACATCATCCATGAGGCGTTGCACGAAGTCACAGAGTTCGCACTGCAAGGGGAAGAAGTGGTCACGTGTTGGCAAGGGATGGTTTGTTCTGGTCAATAGAGAGGCTGTGCTAGCAACGTCACTGACATGGGGAGTCAACCTGAGTTGCCTCATACACGGCACACTGGCGACAGCTTGGGGAGAGACATTGCACCCCGGCTTGTCAACAGGAGATGCAATAGTTAGTGCTCGGCCACGACAGGGACCGGAGACACACCCACACACCATGACATAATGGCTGGACATCACGGATGATAACAGGCATGCATAGCATAGAGCAATAGAGTGGTAGTACAAACAACCAGTGCACATACGTTTTGATACGCATGGGAAGCTCAACCTGTACAACCCTCAACCTGTACATCCCTCTATGTCTGCCTCAATTTCAACAACGGTCGGGTTCACTACTGCGTGCCATATCAGTGTCCACCGGTGCTGTTTGTTGTCCTTCTGGCCCACAGTAGTGAACCTCTCTCTCTCTCTCTCATATGTCGAGTTGTAGCTATAGTAGAACCTGTACATCCATCTGCGGGTTCTGTGTCATGCTGCCTGTTGTTTGCCTCTTCAAGTACATGCGGCTCACTACATCGTGCAGACACAGGATTGAACAATATTTGATTTATTTGATGATTGTTACGATGTATGTCATAATTTGTTGCCTTTTGGAGTACGTGAGACACATGAGACCCCCTGTGATGACCAATGTGTGTATGTTGTGTTTTTTTTTTTGCATTCTCTGTAATTCAAATTCAAATGTACTAGGTTGTGAAATGTTTTGGAAGTGGTTGCGGAGGTCGGCTGAGGTGCCGAGGTGCAATCATTTTCACGCGGACATGGAAAACGCATACCACATTCACAAACGTCGTGGATGAATAGTTGCGAACTTGGGCAGCCGCACAAACGTGGTGATGAATGTTGTGTCATATATCGTGTACCATGCGTATGTCCTTGCCTCTTCCTACACGACCATAGACCCTGTCATGGTATATAAATTATCGTGTCGCACGGTTGACTACTAATCTTTGTTAATTGGGATCAGCGACACAGACCATTCGTACCAAAAACGACAATCAGTACTCCCTCTCTATCTCTTTCTTGCAGAGAAGAGGATGTGCGACACTTACACAATATAACAAAATATGCTCTGCAACTTATAATTCTAACGACTTGAACCAATGTACAAAATGCTAATCAAAACACTGTCCGCACCGCTCTGTTTGTTTTTGGAGTGCACTGCGTGCATAGAAAATGGACAGCGGTCCACGGGTGTGCGACTGTGGCAGACCTTTCATGTCATTACAAACTTTGAACTCACATCGTGCCAGGGCATGCCCGGCCGTGGCGGACGAAAAAACACATGGCCAAGAGATGGGTGTGGTCGATGACGCCGGACCATCAAGTATAGGTGCAGTGAATCTCGTGAGCGATGAGAGTGAGGACGTCGGGGCCCCCGAGAATGGAGACATGGAGGGCGGGACATTCGAAGAGCAGCAACCGCAGCCTGTCGAGTCTTTTGACACCTCTCGCAAGCTGGCGACACTGATTTTCTCCGTTAGGGGCGGCGTCGGTATGTCGCAGAGCGACATAGATGCTCTTTTGTCACCTCTCACAGACCCGAGATTTAGGACGAGAGACATCGCGTATCGTAATAGTCGAGAGTGTTAGACATGGGCAGGGAGTCTAGCAGAGGCTGCTAGATGGAAAGAGTTGGATCTACGTTGTGACGATTGGCCACAGGATGCGCACGCCATCTTGTGGCACCGCGATTGGCAAACGACATTTCTGTCGATTTTTTATATCACATTACAGAAATGCGAGACGGTGCCTTCTGTAGAAATGTCTCCACCGTCAGAGCACCTCAGTATATCCGGCCCACGCAGCGGGGCGCTAAGTTATCACATCCAGTCGATCATTCGAGCGGACAAAGGTGTGGACGGGAATGGTTATCCATGTTATCTTATCCCTCTTTCATTGTATTCCGACAAGACACATACAGACGGTCGCCAAAAACAGACGGCGTACCCTTTGATGATGTCAGTAGCCGACCACTCATCCGAAGCCACACTGCTGGCCTATGTTCCTGTGCTTCATCATCGTCCACGTGACAAACGATGGGGTCTGCAGTCCACCGCATTCAGAAAGCGAAAGACCATCATTTTGCACAAGGCCCTTTCAGTGGTGTTGCAGTCTGCAAAGGAGGCATCTCATGATGGAATAATGATACAGACAACGAGATTCGGGGACATAACTGTCCACCCTTTCCTCCTCAACTATATCCAGGACTACCCAGAACGATGTGCGATTGCAACTGTGAAGTTTGGTGTATGTCCGACATGCACCGTATCCAAAAACGATTTTGATGTCATAGCCGATTTCACAAACTGCAGGAGATCACAGGCACTGGAAACACACCTCACAGCAGATGTGTTCACCGCCGACGACATCGACGTTCGCCGTGCAGTGGAAGCACGAATGTCGGAGTTGAACATGCATAGGCATGTTCAACAGAACGGGCTTTGGGGGTTCTACAGGGGCCCCAATGGTGATGATCCTCAGTTAGATTACCACCTGGCATTGCAACCAGACCGTATGCACACAATCGAGCACGGCATATTCCTGCACATGATTGACGCATTCAGGACCGCAGCCTTTGAGAAGTTGTCGCACTTACCGCAAACAGAGGTCCTGAAGGAACTAGATGCAAGGTTGCAAAGCGTTAGTGAGAGATGCATGCGAACATACCCCCAACTTGTGCTGCCGGTGGCCACTAGCAGCGATTTTTTTTCGAAGGAGGGACAGTTCGAGGCGAAGCAAAACCGGTCTATGATGACAGTGTGCGTGTTCCTTATTTCTAATATTATCCCGCGCTCGACAGGCAAGGGCATTACCGTTTCTTTTGTGAAACTGATGGAATGTACATACGAGTGTTTCGGTGTACAACACACACTCGTGCTTCGCTCGATGAATGCGACGCTTTGATCATGGACTTCATAACGACCCTAAGAACAAAATTGGGAAAATATCAACCATCAACATGGAAACTCCCCAAGTTGCACGATCTCATGCATCTGAGAACGTGTATTGAGCGATCCGGTGTCCCCGACACCTTTGCGATAGATGTTTGGGAGCATCACCACAAGAAATTATGCAAACAGCCATACCTGTCATCAAACAAGCAGAAAGCTTCAACCTAGATGGTAAACCACGTACGCCGGTCATCGGCGTTGCGCAAAGAGACCGAGATCGTGAGAAAACGGAGGAAGAGAACGGTTGAGAACCGGTCGTCCGTGACAGACTGTATGGCCACGGGAATGAACACCATCGCACTACGTGATACGGCAATGCTGCAACTGCGGTGGTTCGACATCGATGACGAGTACATACGCGAGGGAGAAGGCATTGACAACCATGGGTGTAAGATACTCAAAGAGCTTCCTTGCAGACGCGATTTTCGTGCTGCGCTTACGACATACGTGGTGGAGAATGGTTGTCAACCTCCTTCTGACGACCTGCTTATACACACACGGACACACCTGACCATCGCCTGCGTACAAGACGGAACAAACAGGGGCACACTTGTTCAAACTGCAAGAGCGTCGCCACAGTTCCATGGGAGACCAGTGCACAGTGACATCGTAATTAGAGCAGGCAACGAATGCACATGGTTTGCATCAGTTGCCATGTTTTTTGTCGTGGACGCACCCGCGGACAACGGTAATATGAAACATAGCTAAGGATTTATGCAATGGTACAAGGAGGTCGACAGTGAACGGCAACACGTGACAGGTTGCAAGAAATTGAAATAGGAGAAGTTGAATGGACATCAACACAGTAGCGTCGTTTCGACCGACACTATTGTAGACACAGTTCATATTGTTCCGCGCTTCTCTAAACCACAATGGGGATCGAAGCAGCATGCAAAACAGCGTGAGGACTGTTTTTATTTGAACAAGTACATATTGTAGAAGAAACAAATCCAAAGTTTCTATGTTTGCTAAGAGAGAGAGAGAGAGAGAGAGAGAGAGAGAGAGAGAGAGAGAGAGAGAGAGAGAGGCGTCGTAACGGCCTTCATCAGAAGTTTGACGAATTCTGTATATCTGTGTATCTGTCGTCGCCACGGGACAGTCATGTTGTTTCTTATAAAGTATAGGGGAACTAGAGAGGACATTCGTCTCTTTCTTTCCGTTATTTGTTGAGAAATATCATGTTAAATGTGACCAAGCTTATGAAGCGATGAAAACCACATGCGAGACGAAAGTGTCCCCAAAAGTTCACTACTGCGTGATATTTACGTGGTGAACAGTGACATAGTTTCAGTTTTGGCACGCAGTAGCCAACCCCCCTCTCTCTCTCTCTCTCTCTCTCTCTCTCTCTCTCTCAAGTATCCTTTAAAAACGATTTCAAGTTGTTAAAAAACTTAACAAATCGTCTGTGTCATTCCTTTTTGACTGACACGTTTGAACATGAACAAAAACTTACGACGTCGCGCAGCGTTCGGGAAGGAGCGACACAGAACACTGAATTACAGGGTGCAGGTAAGATAAGCCGAGCGAGGATGACAGAGTCACAAATAAGTAACACGTGTGGTGGTGGCGCGAAGTGGTCATATGTGGGTACAAAACCGGTCACCGGTCCAAGGATGGAAAATAAAGACGAAGAGCACCGCAGAGAGGTGGCAAGCGAACCGTTGTTAACATTGACCAGTGAGAGGTCAGCAAAGAGGTGGCAGAACATGTTGACAGACCCTTGGTACGCGGAAATGTACGATATAATGACAGAGGGTGAAGCAAAGTCTCCCCAGTTGATAATCGAAGAGTCATCCGACATTAAGGGAAAAACGAAAGTCGGGGACATGACAAGAACGAGAGAAGAGCAGACTGACATTAACGATGAAGACGAATTGTTCCCCTTCACATGGAAATCAAAGAGACACGCTATATCAGTAACAAAATCCGACGTTCTACGATTGACCGACAACAAATGGTTGAACGACAACATTATCGACATTTGTTTGTAGTCTCTGTATGAAGAACAGTCGCCATCACGGGACAGTGCAACAGTCCATGTCTGCACAACTTTCTGGCATCCCGAGGTCATTGACAATCAGAGAGTGCATTTGACGAAAAGTGGATGGAAGGACGCAATCAAGAATAGACCAAGGAAGTTGCATCGACTGAGCAATGAACTGCGACGCGCGACAGCCACTATAATACTTGTGATCCATAACAAACATTGGATTGTTCTTCTGTTGCTCAATGTTAGATCCTTCTTGGCAGTCACTCACGACAACCATGTCTACGAACCTCCTATCGCCATCGTTGTTGACTCCTTGAAAGGGAAGAAGCGAGAGGAATGGAAGGCCTTGCGAACATTTCTGTAGCACGAGTACCTCCATGAGGCATCCAACTCAGGGGTGTTGACACTGGAAAAGGTTYATACGTCATGGGTGACATGTAGAGATCTACTAGGAAATAAATTTTTGCATGCAGAATGCCCGAAACAGAACAATTACAYGGACTGTGGTGTCTATGTGTGTTGCATCGCTGACACTGTAATACAATTTCTTGCAAGAACTGCAGCGAAGGATGTGAGAGCCAAGGACGTACTGAAAGTTGTTAAAAAAACAACGGTGAACGAAAGAACTGATCACCAATTTCGTCAGTCTATGATGGACCGGCTCGCTCGCTGTGCTGCAGTTACAAAAGGTAACGGCACGGTCGCGGCCTCACACATAGCGACTGCGTTGAGATGCGTCATAAACAGAAGACAGAGCAGCACTTCGTAAGCCTCGAATTGCCGTTGAGCTCGTCAAAGGACGATGCGAACAAAGTTCACTACTGCGGGCATTTGTTACGTAAAGACCGGTGGCTTGACCAGTTGATTGGCCCGCAGTAACCAACCTTCTCGCGGTGATGGTCGAGGACATCTTCCAAGTTTTTTTTTT